TGGAACAGGCTGCCCAGGGAAGTGGTTGAGTCACCATCCCTGGAGGTATTTAAAAGACGTGTAGCTGAGGCACTTAGGGACATGGTTTAGTGGGCATGGTGGTGTTGGGTTGACGGTTGGACTCCATGATTTTAGAGGTTTCTTCCAACCTTAATGATTCTATGATTCTATGATTCTACTCTCAGGAAACCCTAGAAAGGCCCATCTTCTCCAACCCCATGTTTCAAGCTGTCTCCAGCCCAGCATTCAGGTCACTGCCTTAGCAAGGCTCTATGCCAAAGACAATACAACAAGGCACGTCTCGCAAAGCCAAGTACAGTATCATATTAATGTGGCTGCAGAGACTTCAGAGCAGAGTTAGCTTTCACAGCGAGCTCTAAGCGGATTGGTGCCTATATGCTGCCTGTGACCACCCAGGATCCAGAAACATGCCATTTTCCTGCCTCCGTTCCCTGAGTGTCTTGGCCCAGTTGGTGTTGACAGAATATGCCCATTGTGCACCATTACTATTTGTCTCCTTTCCAAATGTTCTGCTGAGATTTTACCAAAAGACAAAGTAGTAGCCTCGGTGCTCCAGAGCTTCTAGTGCTCTCCAGCTCTCAATACCTCAGATTTCCTATTATGCAGAAAATCTGCTTTTCTTATCAAATTCACAGAGCTATTTGGGGGTCTCAGCTCATTCTTGCAAAGTTCTGTTAGAGTAGCAGAAACACAGATTCTTGAACTAAAATTAAATAGCTTGTGCTATGTCCTGAAGTACTTCTCAGTATTAAGGTAACACTGCATGCTCTTAGGTGTTTCTGTCTAAGCACCAACAAAGCTTCATTATTCTTGTATTCAGAAGCAATGGCAGTCATTAATTGCCCTTATCCTCCAAACACACCCATGAGGTAAAAAACCGCAACCTTTTGTTTTCCCTTTGGAACTCAGACACTGCAAATTCAGGTCAAGATCCCTGAGAATGAAGTACCCTCATGCCTTCAACAATTACATCTTAAGCAAAATAATGTCCAGCATTGCAGCATTACCTACACATTGTCTTGCTGCCTCACAAAATTCATACTTCACATCAGGTTCCAAAAGATCCAAACAATGTATTGGAGCAGGTAGAAACCTGCTGCCAGGATAGGCATAGACATCACCTACACCAGCCAAAGAAGGGGATGATCCTAGGTCTCATTCCCCAAGGTAGCAAATGACAGTCTGTCAGGCAGAGGGGTTCCCGGCCACAACTGACCTGCAGAAGTTACTAAGCCAGGACAGCATGAAACACAGAGACTCTTCCCAATTCAAAACGTTCTGTAAAGTCTAAGGCCTATTTTCAAATCTCCACTTAGCCTTACCAGGATTGCAGATTCAATCCAGGGTTCAATCAAGCACTGCTGGATTCTACATCTGGGACACAGTAATGCCAGGTACAAGTCTAAATTGGGAGAGGAGTGGCTGGAGAGCAGCCCTGCAGAAAGGGGTCTGGGGGTGCTGGTTGACAGGAGGCTCAACAGGAGTCAGCAGGGTGCCCTGGCAGCCAAGAGGGCAAACCGCATCCTGGGGTGCATCAAACACAGCATAACCAGCCGGTCACAAGAGGTGATTATCCCGCTGATTATCCCGCTGATTATTCTGCCCTTTGCTTTCCTCTTTGCAAAGGGCCCCCACAAGGCAAATGCATGTTGAAGTAACACATCCTGAAATAATTCACTATAGCAGTACTAATTGCATTCCCATACTGTGGGGGATCACAGTATGGGAATGCAACCCCATAAATTGGGTCCCACAATTTAAAAAGGATGTGAAGGTACTTGAATGCGTCCTGAGAAGGGCAACAAAGCTGGTGAAGGGGCTGGAAGGCATGTCCT